AGAAAAACTTTTCTCATGCTTGATAAATCATAAGAAATCTACATAGGCCTCCATCATTTACTTAGGCTTTTTTTTTATTTTTAACAAAATACCTCCATTCCTGTATCCTTCTAACATCTTTTATCTTACCATTCTCTTAATAACCATGAGACATAATAATATTAACAAATAAACTTCCCACCTGTTGTGAGAATTCTTTTTGGGGGATATTAAGCAATGTTTTTCCCCTTTTTAGGTTGTAGTATCAAACCAATGTTTGATTACATTAAAGTTTTTTTGGGGGAACCAATGAATTCATTGAGCTTAGTTACAAAGATGACTGAGGGATTGCTGGGGTATATGAGTGACCTGAGAGTATTTACACTGGAAAGCTTTAACCCAACATGGATCAAGCCTTTTCTTCCTAGCCTTTCCCAGATAATATACTTTAGTCCTCCCCAAACCCAGGAGACCATGTATGATTAGGGCCAAATTACATACAGTTGGTTGGGAAGTGCAGCTGAATACTCAGGTGAGGGTCCAATGACCCTGTTTACCCTTCTTCCTTTAATTAGGTATTTAACTCAAGTCCAGTTGTGATGATCTTTTGTTAGTGGACACAGCTGAAGTCATGAAGATGGCAGTTTGACTCAGAAGAACGTAGTGTGTAGCATCATGTTATTAAAAGAACATGGAATCTAAATTATATATATAAGATAATGTAATAAGTTAATATTACCCATGAATATACTGTGTTTTTTAAGTTTCTAGGTAAATCTTTTACCTTATGTAGTTTAGAGAGTGGTCTACCAAAACCTTGCTTTAGGTGGAAAAAAGCAATTGGTACATAGTTAAACATTATCAAGTTGATGTTTACAACCTCCAGCATAATCAATGAACCCTGAATCATAAACCCTGTTTAGACTTTATAACTGTTGGAGTGGGAGAGATGGGAAGGGTGTCCTGTCCATGAGGGCATGGAGGGGCAGGGGTATCAGAGGCAGGGTCTGGAATCAAAGTAGAAGCTAGATACAGGAAGGATAAATGGCTTATTTGAGCTAGAAACCAGAATAGGGGAGACTAGGGAATATTTGGCAAGGAGGTGTTTAAGGTTTTGGATATCCTTAAGTAGAGGACAGTTAGGGGAAGGAGAGTGGGTGATGGACTTAGAGTGGCGCTGGAGAGGGGAAAGGTCGTGGTATGGAGAGGGAGTTCGAGTTGGAGAAAGGAGGAGAG